AAGTGCAATATTATCATAAATGGGAGTAGATCACAAATTCCATCCAATAGCTTTCTATTCCAAATTTTTTTCAATAACCGAGATTAATTATGAGATCTATGACAAAGACCTCTTTACAATCATGGATTCATTTCAAGAATGTCATCATTATTTAGAAGGCACCTTGATTCTAATCACAATGTATATGAATCACAAGAACCTTGAGTATTTCATGTCAACACATGTTTGAAATTATTGCCAAGCTTGTTGGAGCATGTCCTTATAAAAATTTGATTTCAAGATCACTTATTCACTCAAAAAATAACAAGATTTATTAGACACCTTTTTTAGACATTCTTATTTTGCACCAAAAGAAAGAGATGCATCTTTTCATTAACAAAAAATGATTTTCTTGAAGCCAAAATATTTTCACTTTAAAGCAACAAAATCAACATTAATCATTGATTCAATATTTATCAAGCAAATTCAATCAAGTATGTCCTCTAATTCTCTTATCCATGATATTAAGAATAATTCTTTTAAGTCTTATGATACTTCCAAGTTTGAGTTCAAGAACAACCTACTCTATTTTGAAGGATAATTATACATTCTAAAAGATGGAGTACAATTATGTGTTCTTCAAATTCATCGTGACTTTCTAATAGCCGGACATTTTGGATACAATAAGACTTTGGAGCTAATATCAAGAGATTTTTAATGGCCTCAAATGTGGAAGGTGGTCAAAGACTTTGTACAATCATGTGACATTTGTTCAAGATCAAAAACTTCTCGCCATTGATCGTAAAGACTTCTTTAGCCTTTACCTACTCCATAACAAATATGGTCTTCTATTTCTATGGATTTTATTTCGGATCTTCTAATCTCAGATCTGTATGATTCTATATTCATAGTAGTAGATTATTTTATCAAGATGACATATTTTATATCATATAAAAAATCTATCATATGTGAAGAAATAGCTAAGCTTTGTCTTAACAACAATTATTACTATCACAAATTACTTAAAGATATTATATTGGATAAAGAGGCTCAATTTATATTAAGATTTTGGAAAATCCTTTTTAAGATTTTAAAGGTGGATATAAAGCTCTCTTCGACTTTTCATCATCAAATTGATGGACAAACAGAATGGATGAATCAAATTTTGGAGCAGTACTTGAGGTATATTATCAACTATCATCAAGATGATTGGACAATTTTTTTTTGTCATTAACAGAGTTTATATACAATAATTTACTACATTTATCTACTTAACAAATACCTCTCTTTGCCAACTATGGTTACCATCCACAACTTGATACTTTTGACTTTTCAAAAGTTAATAATCTTGCAGCAAAAGATTTGACAGATCGTTTGTTAGAACTATATGTAAAAATGAAGGCACAATTAAAGGAAGCTCAAGAATAATAAAAAATTAATTCAAATGCCTATTGCAAGGAACAACTACAATTCAACGTAGGTGACAAAATATGATTATTTTATCATAATATCAAGACTATTCATCCTTGTGACAAGTTGGAGTAGTGTAAGCTTGGACATTTTTTTATTAATGAAAAAATCAATCATATTGCTTATCAACTATATCTACTGGAGTCTATGAAGATCCACTCTGTATTTCACATATCTCTTCTTAAGCCATATAAGACACTAAATATCTCAAGAATAAGATAAATGCCACCTCCTCCTATAGAAGTGGAAAATATTCAAGAATTCAAAGTCAAAGAAGTTTTAAATCCAAGACAACGCCAAAATAGGTTAGAATATCTTATTCATTGGCATGGATATAATATTAATGAATGCACTTAGAAGCCAACAAAGAATCTTGTAAATGCATCAAATAGAGTTGAAGCTTTTCATCAACAACATCTATCAAAACCAAGGTGAAGAACAATAAATCTTTATTATAAAAGAAACATAATCAAAAGATGATAATACTCCACCTTCTATTTGTCTTTGTAGCTTTTGTACATTTGTGATGCTAAAGAGATGGAGAACCAACAACCAACAAATTAAAGTTAAGAATTTTTATTTGTAGACTTATTAGACGAGATATTGCAATTTTCACAACCTTCAAGATAACAAAATTGAGATGAAGATCCTCAAGAATGACATGTCTTTCCTCAAATAGATAGTGAGATACAATGTGTTCAGTATCATGACCTTCGAAGAAACTTCCAATGTTTGGTGGTTTTAATAGAAGTAAGAACAATTCCAGATGGTATTTCAAATATTTTATTTGAAGGAAGTTATGAAGACTTCAACAATGATCAAATAATAGGAAGGTCTTCTTATCTTAGTATGAAATACTATTGATGGCTGAGAGGACCTATCAACCATCTTCAAAGAGAACAAAGATTAGAATATGTGGCAGATATAATTTGTCGCATCTTAGATTTTTTCAACATATAAAGACCGCTTTTCTTAGAATTCATCTCTAAAAGAGGGAGTAATGTCATGGATATACATAGGTACTCTAGTAAATACTTATATGATTAACTAAAAGTATGTAAAAATAAATAAAAGTATGTTAATTTCATATTATTGTCTAGAGAAGCTTCTCAAAAACTTCATTGACGCTGCTTTGACTTTACATATGTTTATAGATGATTGGTAGGTTAGAAAATTGATCAACAAGTTAACCACATATTGGTAGCTTATAAAACAAGCAAATTATGTGGCATACATATAAAAAACTTACCTTACAAGTTAAGATACATGTCTTGCAAAGTCAATACATTTTGGATGTCCAATAGGACATAGCCATGTAGTTCCTAAAAAAGAGTATATATGGAGGCAAGAGTGAAGCCTTCTTCACTTTTGTGAATGCCTTTCTAGTATTTAGTCTTATTTTAAGACTTTCTAGTCTTTTGTCTATGACAATAGCCATTCTAGTTCAATAATATATCATCTTTGAATGACATTTTAGTTCTTTTTAGTATCACAAGAGTATATTAAGGATTTCTTTCTTCAAAATTCATGTCCTTAATATGATAATAAGATTACTTTAAAGATTATAACAACACAAAATTTATACCATATTATTTATTATTATATATATATAATATTTATATATTAATTTATTTTAATTTTTACATAAAATCTATAAATATTTTATCTTTAAAATATTTTATTTTAAATAATCAAGTTTTTTTTATTATATATATAATTTATAAGAATATTTCTTAAAGTCCATAATCTTTGTGTATTTTTAAAAATATTTTTTTAATATTTTTTTGAATATATATTTTTATTAATTATAATATATTATAGATATCTATTTTATTTTTAAAAAATCATCTAAATTATACGTAAATAATAATGGTACATGAATATTGGTACAATAAAAAATTTAAGAAGTTTTTATGTATTTAATAATATTTGGATATTTATTTTTGTATAGAGATTATTAGGAGTGATAAAGATTATTTTGATTACTTGATAAAACACATAAATTATTGTTTGTTTGTATTTATTTTTTTATTTTTTAAATGATGATTTTATTTTTTTTAGAAATAATCATTATTTTTGCACATAATCTAGAATAGGAAACAACTTAGAATGATTATGACAAAAGCATAAATGCTAAAATTTTGAAATAGATTAATTAATCTTAATAATATTAATATTAAAATGATCACATTCTTAATGATGATTGAAGGGTATTGAACTTCGGACATATTTGCAATCATACATGTTTAGATGTTGATTTGACCATGTCATGTGATATGGCATAGGATGCCAAATCTAATTGGATGTATATAATTTAGTTTAGTTTAGTGGTTTTACATCTATTTAGCTATTTTTCGTTAGTTGACTTTGTTAGTGTCAACTAGGATATAAAGACTTAGGTGGAGAAACCCCTTATACTTGACATTCTTGTTCAGTTAAATCTTGTGAGTGGTTTTGAGAAAGAAAAAATCTATGTTTTAAGGTTTTGCTTGGCTATAGTGATTAGCTTATTAGTGAAGCTTTTAGGGTTTTTTCCATACATACTTGCACTCTTGGATTCCCCCTTTGTAGTGTAAGAGATAGCTTGACTTAGTAGTGTTTAGATTTTCCATCTTTCCTTGAGAGTATATTGATTATGTATTTATATTTAGTTTAGACTGTATACTTCATGATTAATTTATGGCACTCAATTTGTTGTGTATAATAATCTTTATTTATACAACAACCATCATCAACCTTTATTACAAAATACATATATTCATCCTTCATTAAAGCATGATTATGAATTAAATTTGACTCTTTCTTACAAAAGTTCAAACAACAAAATATTAATTTTGTGTGTTCACTAGTTTTTTGTAGCTTCAAATATTTGTTTGAAGAATATAGTATAAAATTTTTTTCACATCTTTCTACTATTCCATATCACTCTCATTTATTACTTTATATTTTTATTTCTGCATCATTTCATTCCGTTTATAATCTTACATTAAAAAAAATCCAATAATTTTTGCACTATTTTTTATAGGAATAATTTTCGTTCAAGAAAGTTGAAAATTTGACATTTTCTTTAGTTACAACTCAGTAAACCAATAATAATAATAGTGCGACAGGGTGAGAAGAGACTTTCCACTAGGGCAGACATATGAAAAGAAACCCACAATTGTAACCAGTTGGGGCAGTTGGGCAGTAAACAAAAGGCGTGTGTGTGTTTTGTTCCGGTGGCGTGAATCCAGAATAATCCATCCGTGGGAACGAACAAATGAACACATGAATGAACAAACGAGAAAATGAATGAATGAAAGAACGAATGAATGACACCAGCACAAAAATGACGATGATGGCGGGGTTCATTACCATAAGCGTAATTTACTTTAATCATATTTAGAGGTGAGGCGCAAGATTGATTAAGAGAGGAGGGGGGAGTAGGGAAGGAGAGAACGCGACCAGACAGAAAGACAGACACCTTGTGTGTGTGTGTGTGGGAGAGTGTGTTTGTGTGAGTGTGTGTGGGAGAGTGTGTTTGTGTGAGTGTGTGTGGGAGGGAAAGAGAGATCGAGGAGGAGGGAGGGAGGGAGGAGGGAGGGAGGAGCCATGGCGGGGCTCTCGCTTGAATGCGGTGATTGCAAGGCGCTGCTTCGGACCACGGAGGAGGCGCAGGAGCACGCAGAGCTCACGGGACACAAAAATTTTCACGAATCCACGCAGGCGGTATTTCCCCCCCGCTCCCCCTCCTTCTCTCTCTCTCTCTCTCTCTCTGCTACTTCATTGCATAACACCATGTCCATATCCGGGACCACTGTCTCTTGTGCGGCAGCATGTTGGACCGGTCGGAGGTTTTTGATGTTTTTGATGTTTTTTATTTAGCAAAGAAGAAGCAACGTGTTTTGAGAAATTTAGGATTGGATGATGATCGAGAAGTATCTGGGATGGCGTAGGAGTGAGATGAGATTATCTGGCGGTCCGACACCGGCGTGGGGTTTGGTTTTATACCCGTGGTCGATCTGCTGTTCATTGCAATTAGCGATAATGGATTCCCATGTCTCTTGAAATTTGAGTTTTCTTGCGATTGATATGTTGAGAAGCTTGGGATACTCGTGTTGATAACATTGTTGGTGTTGATTTGTAAGGTAGGATGATTTCACACATCTTTGGAAACGATTTCTTAGTTTTAGCGTTTTTTTAAAAAATGTTTTGGATTTGGAATAATAATAATCTATCATGCGATCATGATGTAATTGAGGGGTGATTTTTCTGTAGTATCCTCCCGTTGCAATCTGTGTTGAGAATTCAGGTTCTGTGACAGTGGTTTCTCTTGGATTGAAATTTCGACTGCAAACTTCTTTTACTGTAATGTAGTTGAAGTGGCAATACCTCCATTTATTTATTTTTGGCCTTGCCTTGTACTGCTGCTTAAATTCTTCTGTATTGAATCTTTTTGCGTCGCTGCTCTTGATTAAGAAAATCTGCGTCCTTCTTTGATGCTGTAAACCAAGGCACTTCTTTGTGATTGACGAATTTCGCTGATCACAGTAATCTTGTAGTGTTGTACTTTTATTCACTTCCTTTTATTCCAGTTTGTAACTTTGCAGGTTCTGATAACAATGGTAGAGAAGATGTATGAGCACGATTGCCATTCCTTCGATCCCATTATTGTACAAGTCGAGTAGGGTGTTGCTGCCCAATTGTTGGGGGAAACTGTAGTTCGCCGAGGGCAGTTGGTCAACGGCCTCCATCATTGTTGTCGTTGTGTTCATATATTTGTTTTGCTTTTGTGGCCAGGTGCTCAATTTGATTTGCACTTCCTGCGGCAAGCCGTGCCGAACGCAAACGGTCTGCTCTCATTTCCAAATTGTGTTTTATCTGCTTTTGTTACATATGCTTCTCATTTGACTGAATGCTGGTGTAGGCAAGGTTTTGATTCTATAAGAAAAGCTCAATTGGTTTCACTTTCATACTGAAACTGGTAACTTTTAACGGGATCGTAGATACGTCCCAGGCTAAATACTTTAACCAATGTTCACAAACGGATGATGTGTGGGACACAACTCTTGTTATCTACCTGGCCATGGTGTAGGACGATCCGAACTGAGCCGGGTCGAGAGAGTTAATCTCCATCAAAAAGAGACCACTGTTATCGTGACTTCTTTCTTTTGTACTGCCATGTACATCATGTGCAGGAGCAAGATTTACATACGAAGAGAACAGGTCATGCGGATTTTGCAGATAAAACAGCTGAGACAGCGAAACCTATTGTGTTGGAAAACAAGCCAGTTGCAGGCCCGAGTGTTTCTGGTGAGGGAGGGAGTGCTGAAAATGCTCCAGGTAATTGATGTATTCTTTGCACCTTTGCTGATCATAGTTGTGCTGTCTTTGTTTGTTCAGTTCGGAATTGAGTGTTCAAGCCAGTCTCATACTGGATTGAGCTAATTTTGAGAACTATTTCGAAGAAGGCTTTGACGTTCTTCCTGGTAACACCTTTGTGTAGAGATGGTTGTACCTGAGGTGAACAAGGAAGCACTGGCAGAGCTTGAAGCCATGGGGTTCCCTACTGCTCGTTCTACTCGTGCTCTGCATTTCACAGGTCCTCGTTTTCCTTGGTCTTCTGATAGTGTCGATAGTATTGAATATTTACAATCTATCATGATAAATACAGTGCGAAATACTGTGCTTCGAGCTCAATATAGGAGATGCTGTACAGGAGATTTCACTTAATGATAACTTTTCAAGGCTCGAGTCCCTAAAGATTTGCGAACATCAACAATCATTAACCTACCTGGTCAAGCTGTACTAGTAGCTGCAAATGGAATCAAGCTTGATTAGTTTTTCATCGCATGCAGGGAGCAGCAACGTAGAGACCGCCGTCAATTGGATTGTGGAGCATGAAAACGATCCTGATATTGATGAAATGCCGCTGGTATAGCTTCGAGTCGCTCTATCACATCAGCGTATCATAAACCATAAATGTGTTACGTGATGTTTTACAAAATTATTGCAAAGCTGTAAACTTCTTTTATAGGAGAAGGGATTCCTGGGTCAGTTTGTTGCATGGCATGTCATATATTTCCATTATGCTAGGGGTAACCTCTGCATATTTTAGATTCCTGGATACCGGGATTGTAACCTTTCTAAAACAGATTTTGTATTTGGAATATTGGAAAATCTCTCTCTCTCTCTCTCTCTCTCTCTCATAGCTGATATTTATCCTTTAAACGGATACTTATTATGACGATGCATTTGTAGGTTCCCTCTGATGCAAATACGTCTATACAGTCACTGCTGACCCCTGAAGAAGCCAAGGCTAAAGCCCAGGAACTTGTGTGAGTGTTTTTTTCCTACTCATCCTGCTTGGATAAACTCTTAGATCTACTATCAGTGGCATTATTAGCACGTTTATGTAACTAATCATTACGGTAACAACTTGGAGTGAGGAATTCTCAGATTTGGGATAGTTTGGATTGTAGTTGTTGGCATATTCTGATTACATTATCCACGATTCTTGGTTTCCAGGCAGAGAGCCAAAAGGAAGAAGGAAGAAGAGGAGAAGCGGATGGAAAAAGAACGAGAAAGGGTACGTATTTGGAAGTCGTCTAATTCAGTTGGATGAATGTGGACAATAAGCATGCATGTAGTTGGGTAATGGTGGAAATTTTAGGAACGATATGGCTCAATGAACGTGAAATTTAAATTTTATATTCTGTAGCCTCCTGCTCATTACAAATGGTCTATTGAAGTTCATGATTACGATTATGTTGAGGTCGGAATGTAGGAACGGATTCGCATTGGTAAGGAGTTGCAAGAAGCCAGACGTATTGAAGAGCAACAGGAGCGGCAGAGGTACGTTGAAATGCGCCATTCTCTCCTCATGTTCTTAATATTAAAATTCAAAAACATCTTAGGGACCTTATAAGTCAGTTTTCATCACTCTACGGTGAACGTATTAAACATCTATATGGTTACAAATTTTCTAAAATCATCTATTCCAGGCAATCAAGATGCTAACTTAACTGTCGCTAGGTTTGTTTGTTTGTTTGTTTTTGTTTTTTTCTTCCGAGGATTAATGGGTCTTTACTGTGTTTCTAGGATAATTGCTTTCAGAAAGGCTGAAAAGGAAGAAGAAAATCGTGCTCGGCTGAAGATTCGGCAAAAGCTGGAGGAAGATAAGGTGTTGTATTATTTTTTCCCCTTTCCTTCCTTCTACATCACCAATTCTTATATCTTCATTATTCTGAATCTTATGTGGGAGGTCCTGTTGGTGCTTGTGCAGGCAGAGAGAAGGCGAAAATTGGGCTTGCCTCCTGAAGAACCAAAGCCTGTAGTAGCTGCACCACCTCCACAAGAGGAAAAGAAGGTCAGCACTTTTTGTAACTCCTTGTTGACAGGAGAGAGTTGATATGCTTATCTGTCTAATTGTCACGCTTGATTCATTGTATCATGTCATATCAAAAAACACACGAGAAAATGTAACGCCTTGGATGAGCAGCCTTTTGTACCGCTGAGACCAGCTTCGAAGGCAGAACAGATGCGGGAGTGCTTACGAGGCTTAAAGCAAGCCCATAAGGTGCTTATCAATCACCATCAATCACATAGAAATTGTTTCTCTTATTCTTATGTGAGTAGTTATGTCAATGCATACTAGCATCGGCTTTATGTCTTACCTACAAAATTTTGTCCTGATGTTGGTGAATCAACTAATTTTACTTATAAAGTTTGTTTCAATGTCACTGAATAATATCATTATGTTCGCGATTTATGACTCCTCATTTTCTTTTAATTTTTTGACATTTTACACTTGGCTTTAATCGAATTTTGTTTTCCGTACTTTCCATAATGATTTGCTTATGTATGCGTATGTATTAAGATATTACTTCGGTGAACACATTTGTGTTGCAGGAAGATGAAGCTAAGGTCAAGAAGGCTTTTCAGACGATGTTGACCTACATAGGCAATGTAGCTCGATCTCCTAACGAAGATAAGTTTCGCAAGATACGGTTGACGAATGCTACTTTTCAGGTATGCAGTTTCTCACACCTTCTAAGGTCGGCTGTTCTAACCTTGTGTATTATGAAGTAACATGGTGGATTTAAGAAATGTTCTTTGGTCATATATTCTGTGATGGTCTGATGTACTGTCACCTCTTGCAGGAGAGAGTCGGGAGCTTGAGAGGTGGAATAGAGTTTCTCCAGCTTTGTGGGTTTGAGAGAGACCAGGACGAGTTTTTAACGCTACCAAGGGAGAAGGTGGACATGGTCTTGTTGAATACCGCAGGGTCTGAGCTGAACTCAGCTATCAACAATCCTTTCTTCGGTGTCTTATAGAGCCCTTGATTGTAATGCATGTTATTTGTCTAGGGTCTCGTAAAAGTTCGTGCCGGAGTTCAATGACTAATATTTGGTGGGGTCATCCGGTGAGCTGGGTGCTCTAGTTTCCTTCCTAGCCTGCAGTTGCATTGGGTTGCGTGTAATCTATAAGAAGGATCGGCATATTTGTGCTATGAATGAGTCATTGACTTAAAGACTTGGTCATGAACTTCTAGTGAAACACAATTGTATTTGCAATGATTCACGTGACATTTTGTATGAGCTTCTTTTTTTTTCTTTTGATTTTTTTCCTTTTTGCGTAAGTTCTCTACGATCCTGTCTGTAGTACTTTCAACTGTTGTTCCGGGCATACAGGATTGGTACTCTCTTCTGTACTAGTTACATCTGAGAACAGGTATGAAAGCATGAACAGAGACCGATTGCCAAGTCTGGAATTATGCACAACAGTGGAGATAGATCGTGAGAATCGCACGTTTAAAAATAAGCTTGTTATAAGGTTTTACAGTAATATTATTAAAAGTGCTGGTTTGTGCTTTATCCTCTTTTCCTGATGTCATATTGCTATGTATTTTGGTTTTGGCAGCATGATCATTGATTACCATAGTGACGAGTTATAACTACAAATTATCTGAGAAGATGGGCATGAGTAAATGTAAATTTTATCTTGGTGCTGTAATCCATCCATCTGTTCTTCACTAAAGTACAATTTTGATGCAATTGTATTTGTAAATCATACAGATTTTAAATATTTCATCAAACATATTTATTCCATTTTAGAATAAAACATGAAACCGAAACTTAAAATACAATTGAGACATTGTTTTATTTGTTAATTTATTTATAAAGTTTTCAACTTATTAACACTTATTGACATAGTAAAAAACATAATTTAGATACGTTGAAACTAGCAAGAAAAATTACACAAAGTTTACTTTGTTAAAAAGATTATGATTGATGATAAATATGAAATAAGATTATCCAAGAGAGGATTGTGTAACTTATCCCTTCGACAAAATCACTATAAATATACTCATGCAACATTTTTTTAAGGGATCGACAATGGTTTGACATATATTAAAATTACAAGCCAGGGCAAAAAGGAGCCCATAAAAACCCAAACACGTGAGCAAATTTTGAAAGAAGTTCGGATATAATAATGTAAATAAGTATTCCGGAAGTAGCTCAGAATCAACAAATTTTCCTTGCTTGTCATTGTGATGCAAGATAAAAATGATACGTAAGAAGTGTCTTTGAAAGGAAAGTGCTCCTTTCATATCATAACAGGTCTTCGTGTGCCCAATTACAGCCAATATTGGATAGAGGGAAAAAGAAAGAGAACAAGAACTTTCCTACATACAAACTTGGAGACATGGGTTTGTATTTGTGTGAATACATGAGTGTACAAAGGCTTCGTATCAATTACGATTGATGCGTTTGTGGTAGCAGTGCCTAGGCATAGAAGTAATAAAGAATGTTAGTAATTACCGAATCTAAGCCTGCTAATTCCACAACCTATCAAATACATGATCATGTTCAACAGTCTTGGTTATTTCAAATTCACAGTCACTAGAAGAAAATAAAAGGCTTGATTGCATCCGACCATCTTAGGCTCACTGAGGGTAGGTACATGAGCTGCTAGTTTTTCTCTCTTATGAAGTTTCTATTTATTTTACAACCTCACTTAAAGCCTCCAAGCAGTCCACCATAAGAATGGCTGTCTACAGTTGCTAAATCTGGATAACGCTGGAAAATACTCTCCAAGCCACGAATCAATGCTGCTCTGACGTTGATCCCTGAACAACGCTATATGCAGTTTGAGTCACGCGTTGCAACTCCAAGGTAGCTCTAACAGCAGCCTCTGATACTTGAGGTGAGCTTGACGTACGAAAGCGCAAAACAATATTCTCGAGTGCTACTAAGTCAGACCTCGAGGGAGAGGAAATTCGAAAAGACTGTTTATTCGTCTGCATTTCACGTAGCCCTTTGCACGAGGCAGATATTACAAACAAGAGTTGGCTCTGACGTTTTGCTGATAAAGACGGCGTGTGAAATTGTGAACAGATTTCCAGTAAGTTCACAAAGCGACCCGCAGTTGAAAAAATGGGCCCAACTGATGACTGCGGGGCAGCCTTGATCATTAAAACTAGACACTCAGCTGCCGTCTCTGCAACCTGGGGTTCTCGGCTTCCACAAAGCTCCACGAAAATGGCCGCATACTTTCCTAGGTCTCCAATGTCCTGTATAGCTATTTAAATAGCAGCCACACGTGGGATTAGAGTTTACATGTAAAAACTTCGCGAAAAGAAAGCTCCATCATAATCAATGTATATTTTAGAGCATTCATAGAGATAATACATTCATTTTCAGAGTAGGAAGATATCATTATGGTCAACTTTCTTCCACAGCTAAAACAAACTCCGTCTGTGCGCAAAACGTCATCCCGTTAAATACTAAACATTTATCAAAACTTCAGCCTACCTGATCGAGAAACTATCTCGTCGACAGCAGTCGTTGCCGTGGCATTGCTACTTTTTGACTCCAAGCAGTCTTCAAGACTACGAATGAGGAAGAATCGACAAACTGACAGAACCGGGTCAAGGAAATCTTGCATGCCTTTGGCATGCACGAAATCCAATAGTGCTCCCACGTGGTTTACAATCCGTAGATCTGATAGAACTACTGAATCCATTTTTGGGGAAGATACCAAATATAGACATAGCCGCACGTTGTGAAGATTTATGCTGGCTAAGTCGTATTGTAAGAACTCAAAGAACTGAAATATTAACTTGAGCTGAAGTATGTCCTCGATTTGAATGCATTTGAGGTCGAGCAGCATAACCAGAAGTTTTTGAGCATACATAGGTATAGGGTCTTCATCTTGCAAAAGAATAGGGTACATTGGTAGAAAGTGCTGCTTAACAATGTCTTCAAGTTTCTCCCTGCACGATGAAGAGCAGAAATTTAATTAAAGGACAGGATAGAGGCCATTCGAGCCAAAGGAAACTAAACTAGAGCAAGTTTTACAGCTGGAACCTGAAACACATGTATCTAAGTAGACATATGAGACACCGACTCTAGTGAGTAAATATTGTTCTTCAGATCTACAATTCCAGCACGATCTGGACAGAGCAGAGGGACAAAGAAGAGAAGAATCACATAAAACATCATATAAACACACAACTTGCAGAAGGTTTACGATGAGAGATGCATACGTAGGCAATTGAGGTTTAGAAGTTGTGTAGCGATCAGACTTGCACAAGAGCAGTGAGTGTAATTCAACTTAAGACAAAGAAATACTTTGGAGCCAGTTGTAGCAATAGCTGCAATTTTCCTACTAGTGGATTAACATTTGTAAAAAGAGAAACAAGGGGCCAACTGAGGAATCTCAGGTACCGTCTGGGCGCACTCAATACGGTTCTTGACGGTTGCTGGTCCTTGGTAGTGTTGATAGAGGAGATATCATCAAGAAATACAACTAAGATATCAAAGAAAACTTTGAGGCAAAGGAACCGTATATCTCCATCAGTGTTCTTTTCGTACAATATAGCAAGGCTCGGTAACACTTCAGAAATGAATGTATCAGGGTAAGTCAACAATGCTGGTGACTGTTGAGAGATAACTTCTACTATCTGCAGGAGTGTAGACTGGAATTCAACTTGTCCCTACAAAGACACAGGCCATGGTTAGTCGGAAAATAGGCAAACAGGCTTCATGCATCATATTCCAGTCAAACAACTCATACCTAAGTAGATATAAGGTAATAACCTGTCACAAAAATTAGTGATCCTTCTTTTAGGTAAGAACTCAACACGGGATAGTTGCATAAATGAAAGAAAAATTCTGCTTTGAAGACTCTTGTCAGTGCTACTAACCGGAAAAGAAGAGGTCTCTAGTCGCTTGAGAAAGGATGCCAATCCCTCCAGCACATGTTCGTCTAACATACGACTCCTGAAAGCGGGACTATTTATCAAGTTTAATATCACCGGAAACAAAGGAAGGGAACTTCTTGGTGAGCCACGAGCAGGTGATGAGCCCGGTCCTGGAGTTCGCCTTCCGCTAGCCAATAGAGCAATGTCTGTGTTGATCGTTTCCAATATACTAGGAACGACACCAACAACAGTTTGCACCAAAGCTTCCATGCATTGCTGCACGTATGGGTCCTTTTCCTTTGATAATCTCTCTGCTGCAGGCAGCATCTTCGCATTACAGAGTGAAGGTAACCACCGTCGATTTTTACACAACAGCGCAGAACATACCAAAGACTTGCCACGAAGGATTTCTGGACCCTAATACCACGTGGATCGGAAAAGAGAGAAAAGTTAATACATGTCTTAGGTCACAATATCATCTTGTGTGAAAGACCTCACAATCTACCCACTTCTGTACAGTTTGAACATCCTAGCGTGTGATAGAGCTAAGCTTTCTAAATCATGTAAATCGTACGATGATTGAAATTGTTTCATTGGTACTTCTACGATAAGAAAAGTAACCTTGACTTAAATGGAAGATGCTAGTAGTCGAGAAGTCCAAGAGCTAGGTCGCAGACATAATAGCGAGGAAACACGTGCAAGAGAAAATGAGCTCCTTTAGTTTGATTAGACAAAAATTAATACGAGACCCTACACTTAAAAAGAAAGGTAAGACAAAAGTAATAGCTTATGTTATTCGAATGTAATAAACAAACCTGCTCCAGCATGGCAACTACATTGGGTACTAGGCTCCTCTCCTCCACAAGGGCATGAAGATACTTGCTCATAGGCATAACACTGCTACCTTCAAGAGCCATGTTGATGAGATTGATGTTCACTTGTTGCTCTCGTCCACTCCCTTTGGCAAGTCCCCCCACAAGCTCCTTACAGGTGATCTTATCAAGAACAACAAGGATTGTGGTTCGCTGGAATCGGACCAGGCGAACTAAACAAGAACCTGCTGTCACCCTCAGGTTTTCTGGTTTGGCTGCTGCTCGAAAGGTGTAACAAAGATTGTCGATAATTTCATTATTCGTAAAGCGTTGAGCCCAATCTCCACCTTGACTTGCGATATTCTCGATAGTCTTCAATGCATAATGCTGGGTAACGTCATCCTCACCCCTTCGAAGTATAGAAGATATCAATGCAATCGTTGTACCTGGAATCTGCGTCGAATTTCATAAAACCTCAAACATCAATTATTCTCCTTTTATGAGTAGAATTAGCAACTATTGCACCATCTGCATGAAAATTTTAATTACACATTTCCTGCAATGTACAGAATTGAGGGGAACCAGTATCCACAATAACATCGTTATCAAGTGCAAGTAGATTTAGAAAAAATACCTGCCACGTATTGGAAGACTTGACGTCCTTGACTGAGTTATCGAGGCCACCACCTGCTCTAGGGGATCCGTCATTCTGTGTTGCGATATAAAATAACAGCTCTCCAAGAGTTGCCATTGCACAGCGCCTTACCTGCTGACAATAGAAACCTGACGATAAGTGAAACTAACAAATGCGGAAAGATTAACCTGATCAAAACCATGAAAGCGATTTCTGATAACATGATTGCATTCACATGAATACGACCCTGTTAGATGGTGCACATTTGCCTCACAGCACTAGGTGGAAAAATATTTGAGCACCTTGTCCTGTTTATCTCGTAAAGTCTCTGTCAAGACTGCCACAATCCCTGAACCTGCCAGCTCCTCTTCAATGAGAGTAGCATGGCGGATAAGTAGACCCATAACGGATGTCAATTGCACACGCAGGGATGGGATTTTCATGGTGCGCAGCAGTTTCACTAGCAAAGGCATCAATACTCCATTAATTAATGTATTGGCTGCGCCAATGTTTGTACATAGAGTCTCTAAATATTTTAACGTGTTGATCTTCTCATTCACTGAAACTGTGCTTCCTTGAATGTTCCCCATGATCTTATTCAAAAAGACTTTCTGCTGCTCCGCTTCCAGCTTCACAAACTCAGAAGAAGTCAATCGCTCGACAGGAAGCAGCCGTGAATCGAAATTCGATTCCGGAACCTGTTGCATAAAAAGATAAGAAAAATTTAGTCAAAACTAGAGAACTAACTAAATGAAACATGAAATGGTTGCCAGAATTAGATGATACTGATCAAATGCATGATTTCCAGCGCCGAGGCTGTGAAGTGACAACTCCAGAAAACATGGAAAGATGCTGATTCTTGTCTGAATTTAACATCTTCGTAGGACATCCAGGTTTACCTTCTCTATTCGCCGATTCAGCATGATTGGCCTGACAGAAAGATCTGATGGGTGCCAAAGCGCTTGTGAAAGTACCACTAAAGGTCTGTTAGCATTAGAATGCCCAGCACCAAGGTCCTTCCTGGATTCCTCATTACTAGGTGGAGCACGGTGAGAGCCTTTTCTTGAGATGCCCACACCTGGTGGAGTTGCTGCAACATGACGCATTGCATCCAACTGATTTCCTTTAACTTCATTTTGTGTCATAAGATGATCCTCGGACCTACCGTTGTTTTCAAACTGCGGGGGACTGACTGGCACGGGATCCTCGGCTTCAGTAGTTGATTCCCTACTACACGCTTTGGAAGCTGGGATTTGCTCGGATGTTGCAGAGCGCTTACGCAGCTCATTATCCTCTGTTGAAGCAGTTGGACTAGAACCATTGCTAGCAAAATCATCATCCTCTTCTGTGCCTTCACTATCAGCACCTTCTCCGAAGTTCAGCTCCACGTCGCGGTTCTCTATCGTAACGTCTGTATCATCGGAAGTTCCATTTGCTTTGGACTGCTGCCGATAAGTATCATTCTCAGCTTCCTTCAGCAGATTAGTCTTCACTATTTTGGACAATCTTAGCAAATTCACTGCCGGTAATCCCGCTTTGGACTTGGGGTCCAATGCCTTAGGCTGTGCGTTCCCAATTAACCCTTTAACCGCCTTCCTTCCATTTTCTCTTTGACCAGGGTTAGATTTCTCAGGAATAAATCCTGTTTCAGCTTGTCCAACGTGTTTACTTTCAGGCTTTTTAGCTAAACTCTGACCTTTCTCTCGCAGAGTTGCCCTGTCAACCACAGATCCCTTACTATCTGCAACCCTCTTTTCTACAGGAGTACTACTTCTCGACTCCGACTTCTCTTCAGGAGATGAGGATCTCTGAGTAAGTCGTAAGAAATTTGTAAATGCAGGTTGAGGTGGTAATGGAAGCGTCTTGCACTTAGTTCTCCAAAATGGATGATTCCTAAGCTCATCCCACTGTATCCTCTCAACTGGATCCTTAACAAGCAGACGAGTTACCAAATTCTCAAAGTCAGGACTAGGATTCCCTGATATCGGCGGCAAGGGATCTGAAATTATAGAGTTTACCAATTCAGTGAAGCTACTAGATACAAATGGGGGTCTTCCTGCGTAGCACTCGTACATGACACAACCCAGAGCCCATAGATCAGACCCATATGAGTGTACACTTCCTTCCTGGAAAAGTTCAGGCGCCATGTAGTATGGCGTTCCACGCTTTGCTTGAGGTAGCTGCCAAATCAAACCAATCTTACTCAAAAATATGTCGCAACCTATAAATTCCATCAAAAAATACCTAACAAACAGAATAGGAACCTAAAGCACAAAATTAAAAGAAGTTACTTCGTGTGTAGCTGATTTTTAAGTCAGAATGACTAAATTTTCTTGAATAACTCACTAACAGAAACAAGACGGGTACCATGTGTAGATAACGTACAGTCATTAAGATATCATTTCATGAACAGTCCCTTTTGAAGGGGAAAAACACAGGACAGGACAAGTTACGAGGGCACTAGAGCTACCTCTTGAACAAAGCTCTTGGCGATATCGCTAAGGCGCCTTGCCAATCCAAAGTCGCAAAGCTGCATCCAAAGTTTGGTGAATTTTTAACGTTGTGTAAAAATTTCAATCTAGTTAAACGTGCTGAAGGAGAGAGACAAGAGTAGCATTCTTGGCAAGAGCGCGGTCGTTAGAGGGACAAACAGAAAATTCACAGACAATAACCAGAACTAGTTCTTTCACCACTACCTCAAAGTTCAGCCTCGACTTCATAAGAAATTAATACACATAGTAATTGCACCATATGTGACATACTTGGTTTCATACCGCCCTGAAATGACCTTCATAACTCCTTATCCAAACTTAATGTCAAAACATTATAAACGTGACTGATGCCCTAATTGCGAAAGATGAAATAGAAGTGATACAATGAAAAAACTTAGTCATGATCTTATAGCTACTGAGAATCAAAGCACGCGTACCTTGAGGCGACCATTTTCGTCGAGGAGCACATTTGACGGTTTTAAATCACAGTAAATTACTCCTTTTGAATGTAAGAATCTGCAACACACAAATACTTGTATCAGGCATTAGATTTTAGCACAAGCAGAAATTTTGAGAAGTAGGAAGCAGCAACAAATACTAAAGTTAACTTCTAACAAGCGTATACTGCAAACCATGAATCAGGCTTCAACATAGTGTGTTCTCAAATTTAGGTAAAGAACACGTAGACTTTGAGAACGTAAAGCATTCAACAATAAAGTAGGTTAGATAATAAACATTCTACGTGGCAAAGGATGACGAGTAGAACATGTTCTGACATACTGTAGAGCATTAACTAGATCGCGGGCGAAGTCATGAATAGATTCCTCCGGCAGTCGTGTATCCTGCACGCGATGTTAAAACGGAATTAGTGGACAGATATTGTCGCAACTAATTCAATGAGACACATTTCTGTTCTCCTATCAGAACTCACTGGATTTCTGTTCTCTTCCACACAGTAAGAAGCATTACATCTAAAATGATTTGTTTGCCCTGAAAAAATGAAAGGCGAAACCTTGCTCCAAAGAACGACTAGAAATTGATTTCAATACAGTACAAAAATTGTCGGCTTCTCGGATACTAGAGCAAAATAAACGCACAATTAACTAGATAAACAGGGCCTGTAAACCATGTGATCTTCGATTTCAACACGAAAAATGCATCCGTCGTACACTGGAAGGTATCCTTCACAGAAATGCCCAAAAACAGCTCTTTAGGTTGATACTTAGCATCAGGGGAAGTAGTAAACCAGGACTAGAGCAACCCACCTGCCTAAGGAGCGTTAAGAGATCACCTCCGACACAGTACTCCAAAACAAGCCACAAATGTGCTGATGTTTCATACCTATAAATTGAAAATGTTATCAGCACCAGATATGGGAGTTGAGAGCCATCACGTGGAACGACCAATGTGTGTTCAACAGTCATTTTGCGAGAAACATTAATGACATTGACTGACAGTTTATTGCGAAATAGATATTTTCACAGAAGGATCCAATCGACTATGGGTATTCAATCAACTAGTGATGAAATGAGTTACCATGCGTAGAACTTGAGAACATTGTTGTGGTCAAGTGAGTGGAGGGTTCGAACCTGCTTAGACAACACAGTGACTTTGAGAAAATGTGACAAAATCATCCTGAAAGTCAAGGTTTACAAAAAGAATATGGGCATACGAAGCTGTCCCAAGTTGCAACTGACCTCCTGCAGAACCTTAGTTTTCTGGCTCTTCTCAACACTCTTGATGGCATAATACTCGATTGACTTCTTTTTCCTTCCTTTATACACAACCTGCATGGATAGAAGAGCAACAGTGTGAAATTCAAGGCAAGCTTCCAAGCATTTATCAATCAATACTTTCTCCCGTAAGGGCTGTCAGCTGTGTGTTCAATGGAAGGAGAATTGTCTACAAATCAGATCTAGAAATCTTCACAGTTCACAGCATCTCAGAAACTGAAGCTCACTTTCCGGATGTACAGCATGTCTCAAGAATACCGAATCATTTACACAAATACGAAACTTCAGCAAAACTACAAGCACTCTCAAACTACAAAATCTTATCTTAGTACTGGATGAAATGAAAAGATGTTATCTTTTTTCTCTAGTAAACAAATACTTCAAGCCGTCAATTTGTCTCGGAACTGCAATAAATTATAAAAAGCTTTGAAGAGCGAACTGTAGGATACTGTGCATGCCACCCCTAAAATCCCAGAAATATTAAAGTCGCTATGAACAATCACAAAAAACTCCGTACCGCATTCAGATTCAGACTTCTGTTAGTAAGTAAACAACAGGTTTATGTACCAAAAACTAGCACAGTTGATAAATGTAGTTCAGAAGACCAAAGTAAACGAATCTAGAAAGTCTTTACGGCAGGAATTTCGCTCCTCCTTTCCCCAACTAAGCCTCGTGTATTCGTAACCAAAAGGGCTGATTTCTGAATAATACCTACGACCACGTAAGTATTAACAAGTTGGGATGGCCCCTCAAGGGTCATTTACTCTTATCTGTGTACGTCGTACAAATGATTCTAACTTGTGCGCGACCTCGATCAAAAGCATGAACAACAATTATCAGAGAAATCATGAACTTACTGAGTGCTTTCCTCGTCCGATCGCCTCATAGATGTGATATTGATTCATAAGAGATACTCCGAAGACAGCCCCAGCGCTAGCTTGAAGCCACTTCGTAAACCACAGCGGTGAACAAAGTACCCTTTCAGACTCTGAGTACGGTTAAATTTAGGCAGATTTGAGCTCTACTTTTTAAGCTTCAAGCAGCTGATACGTACGTAATACTCATTCTCCTCAAGAGTTTGTTTTCAAACCGTAGGACAGATTTTTCCTAAGGATGAGACTCCCAAATCGTTCCGATTGATAATTTCCAGTTTCCTCTCACATCGTAGGGGGTCCCACACCTTCGAAATGCCAATTCTCAAACTCAACTTGCTGATACCAATCATATAATAAATTTCTTTGCGGAATGTTGCATGAACACGTGAAGTGTAACCAGAACATAGAGGCTTGATTACAAGTGAGTATTTTCTAACCATGTCCTCAAGAAACGACCTTGCACTTCCAAGGTTCCCATGCAAATCACTACGATCACTTGCCAAGACTTTAATTCCTCTAGACCTAAATATAAAAAATTTCAAAAATAAAGGAAATAGGAAACGAGTTAACTGAGGAGCGTGCGCTCCAATAAAATGCCAAAACCCTCCACAAGCTCTGCCACTAATTCAAAAGCCCAGCGAAACTTAAACAACCTTAAAAATGTTCACCCCAGTGGCCAAGACTAAAGCTCGCTCAAGCTGCAACGTTCCGAAATCGTGACATTGTGCGTGGAACACCCGTATACAAGACGACGGACGAAGACAGGACATCCAGCTTCACGACTCAAACGTCTCATTTGTAAAAACTAAAAACAAATCGTCCAAAATTGAGTTCTGAACTCAAATGCCACCAAATCAAAAATGCATTATAATCCGATACCGCCACAGACAACGCAAACAGCAGGTCTACGACCGCCACGATCAGCTCCCGATACAGCACCGTGCACCTGTATCACTCCAGGTCCACTTTCCCTCCCTTGCAGGCATTCACCAATCGATCCCCAAACACGAACGAACACCACCCGATTCTCTTAGCTTCCCGAAATCTGCACACTCACAGACGACCTGCTCCGCTCCACATCCCGCAACTGAGATCTGCCCTTCACCCCTGTACAGGCGACCGAATGCACCGAAAAAGGCATGAAAAAGTTGCAGAACGGCAATGCGAGGGAGGGGGGGAAGTCATGGTCTGGCTATGGCGGATACTCATTCAAAATTTCGAGCGAAACAGTAAAAATTAGATCGTCGTTACAATGTCAGAGCGGGGGCGGGAGAATGGAGGCCGGGATGAAAGAGGCGCAGGAATGAGAGGGATGAACGTACCCGACCTATTTCAATGAGGTGGCGTCGGACCGACCCATCTGAGTATGGAGGATGAATGTGCACATGACAAGGATGGATTGCATCCGTTCTTCCCGTTGTCCAAACGGTTATTTACACCCAGCTTGAAAGAAACCCCTGGATGATGTACATCGATTGGATGAATAATACCATTTTGGATTGTATTGTAATAGGGCCCTTATATTTCAGATCAAATATTTTAAGGGATTTTGTGGTTTTGAGGTGTCACCCAGAAATAAATTGGGGATGTGATAAAATGAATGTGACAAAGAAAGACCACAAAGTGGAAGAGGGAGTTGTGGCCAAGGACTATTACTATGGAATAGCATGGGGGGAAGTGTATCAAAAGGGGGCATGATAGTACCAAAGTGGAGTAATGTCCATTTGGTTTATTAATGCAAAATCACTCCTCCACACAGGCTCAAATTTACAACATCAAAAATCAAATGACTCAGAAAGGTCAGTAAGAAATTCCTGGAGCCTCACACAAGGAAGTGATGAAAGCAGTTGTGTGGGTTAGTACCACTGCAGTCACACAAATAAAGTTGTGTGAGTCAAGTGGTTTAATCACTGGGCACAAGTTTCACATGATAAAACTATACTTTTCTTCTTTGTTTTTTTCTTTTTTAAAGAAAAATTTATTAAGATTTTGCTAAACACTACCACAACCCACCATCCACCACATGCCACTCTTATTTTTCATAATAGGAATATGTTTTTATTTTGCAAAACTTATTTTTATTGATTTATTAAATTTTTGTATTAAAATTAAATTTTTCCTATATAATTTGAAAACATGTCTAAATGGGTATATATAAATATACTCGAAATATTAATATTTTTTTATTAGTATCAAAAACAATAAAGGGATATTTTTAGTGAGTGGCAGATTGTGTTAGTAATCGCAAAAACTATGATAACATTAGCAAATTGTAGTGGCATTAGCAATACCCTTAAAGAAAGGTTACTTAGATTGTTGGAGAGTTGAGAAAAGCCATTATGCATTACAATGATTTGTTAATTCCAAGTCATTTGTTGTTTTTTATTGTTAATTTACAAAAAAAGAAGTAAACATTATATAAAAATAATGATGTTATTTTATTTGATATCATGAAATTTAAGTGTAAATATTGTGAGACACTCCCAAGTTAATATTTTTAGTAAAAAAAAAAAAAAAAAAAAAAAAAAATCAAACAAACAAACAAAGATTTTTTAAAAAATAAAGATGTATTGCTTCTTGTTAAGATTGACAAAAAAGAAAAAGAAAAGAAATAGAAGCTAAATTACCACAAGAAATTCAAAAAAACAGAAAGACGCCTTATCAGGAAAAACAATTAACAAAGAAATTATTCTAAACTTCTATTGCCATGAAGAAATCATAACATTTCAGCTCTCGTGAGCTTCAAATTTGTAATTCATCTTCAAAGTAGAAGGATTTTTATTATAATTTCGGCTAAACAACTATTAGTTAGTGATATCAAAGACTACACTGTTCCCTCATTCTAGTCAATTTCATCATGTCAAATCTTTAGAATACAAGGCCTGATATTACTCAAAACAGGTAAACTCCACTGTAGCTCACGGGAACAAGGACCTGGAGTATGGAGTGATTTCAGGTGTTTATCCAATTTGAAACACATTTTATTTGTTATTAAGTGCATCAACAAAACTCTTGCATTTCTCTTAGGTTGCATTTGATTGAAGTTTTATTGAATTATTAGTTTTGAAGTATATTTTTACACAACAGTTTTAGTTCCTTTTGTTGTTGTTTTAAAGAATAAAGCATATTAGACTAAAAAAGACGTTATAAATGGAGTTTAAATATCTGATATAAGAAGACACATTTAAAAAAATATATAAAAACTTGAATAGAAAAAAACTATAAAATCTAATTGTAATCTTGGTAAGCTTTGACTAAGCTCAATTAGTAATTAAATCAATATTTAATTAAACTATTTAATTTAACTATCAGTATTAATGAAAGATAATATATATATATATATATATATATATCCATAAATATACCTTTGAATTACAAAAAAAAAATTATGATCCCTAATTTTATACAATTTTTACAAGTTACTTTACCAATGGATATTATCTTTAAGATTTTGTATTCTTTGTTTATTTTTGAGAGTTTTACATAAAGATATAATATAATCACATAATTTTTACATAGTTGTATATTTACAAAGTGAAAATTTAGATCAAAAAGTGTGTGCAATAAGGTTAGTCAAGACCAAAGACCATAGTTGTTTAAATAAATAAATAAACTTCAAAAGTATTTTATATTAATTTTTGAAAAATTTGATGCATAATAAAAAATATCTTAAAGATTTATAAATTTTCAATATATATATATATATATATATATATATATTACTAATATCCCAATGACATTATTAGGAGTTATTGTGTGTTAGCATAGTTACAAAATAATAGCATATTTTATAAAAATTATGCCAATAAAAGCTATTATGGTAATTAGCAGTGGCACTACAACAAAACTAAGATTTTAAGCGGTGCTTAGGAAAATTTTAGGCACATAAAAGGCCATTGGAGGAACCTCAAGGCTCTCTTCATACAATTAATTGGCCATTTGTGAAATAAAGCTTTGAGTGCTAGTAGTTTCATTAAGCCTCGCTGTCAATTCAATACATAACTGTAGTTTATTTTGCTGAAGGAATAAAAGAGTCATTAGTTTTATAAATAAAATATATTTATATCTTATATATTTTGAGGAATGTTAAATAGACCCATGCTTTTAATAAATAGATCTATTCTTAATAAAGAATATGATAATCGTGATGAATGTGGTTTGTTTTCATTGGTTGCAAATATAATAATAGAGAAATGAATCCAAAAATCATTTCTTTTTTCATGATGGTTAGGATGAGTGGATTGATTCAATAAAAAATTGGAACTATTTAACATTCCCTTATATATATATATATATATATGTGTGTGTGTGTGGATATATATAGAATATAATATTATCATAAAATTTAATAAATAAAGATATTTCAAAATCCCTAAAATAAGTCATATTATATATATATATATATATATATATATATACAATGTGAGTGATACCATAGCTTAAAAAGAAAGAATTATTTTAAAGTGGTGTTATTTGAGGTAATAAATATACTTAATTATATATAAAATTATTATTTAAAAATATAGTTATAAACATCTCAATAATGATAAAATAAATGGATGATCTTAATACTAATAGAACTTAGATTTTATTAATTTTTTTTTATATATATATTTTTATAAAACCTACTTTTAAATTTAAGGATAATGTTATAAAGACCTAAATTATTTAAGAAATTTAATTTAATAAAAAATTACTAGATCAATAATATTTTTAATAAGGATTATCAAAAAAAAAACTATTAGATAAGTATTAGATATACAGATTGTTTTGGATATGATATATAATAATATAACCTACTTCTAAAAGTTTTTTATTTTTATTTTTATTTTAATAAAAAAACACTTTTGAAGCAACTTATAACTTGGTCCATAAGTCATATAGTTCTTAGAAAAATTCCTTGTAATATGCTTTTTAAATAATAAATATAAAAAATAAGTATGAATCCATTTTTAGTATAGCTAATATTTCTCTTATATTATAATCTTGGTCCAAGATTCTCAAACTTTCTTTGTATTTAATATTATTTATTCTAACTTATGTTTGTAACTAAAATTAAAGATTATACTTAAAAATTAATAAATTAATAAATTAATAATTGTATATATATAAACATATATTAAAAATTTACATTATTAAAGATTTGAAATAGTATTTTAAAAAAATTATAAAATAAACCACATATTTTAGGTTAAAAAAGTAGAAATCATCAAAAAAAATCACATGGCTACTTTTACATGAAATTGTAATTTAAATATATTTAGATATAATTTTTGGTAGTTATTTCTCTATAATATTTAAAATTTTCATTTAAAAATAATAATACATGCAAAAGCATAGATAGTTTTAAAAAATTGACATAATAGCTCTAAAAAAATTATAAATTTAACTATTTAAAAAATAATTATAATATATATATATATATATATATATTTGTATATATATGCACCACTTATGTAATTAAATAAAATAATAAATTTATTTTAATATAATTTTAGTAATTTTCTAATAAATTTACAAAATAATCATTAAAAAGTTTGATTTTCTATTGCATTTATGCATTAATGTGTAATTAAGTTTTAAAATTTATATCATTTAAAAATATTTACCACAAAAACTAATATTATATTATTTTCTTATATATATATAGATATTAGAAAAATTATTAGTAGGTTCTAAAAATATTTTTAAAATATATAATATAAAAAATATGTTATTAAGATTTATAATAATCTTAGGCTTGCATTTATGCATACAATAGTTATCAAAGTAAAACATGTAGAAGCTTCTAAAGAAGCTTTTAACCATGTACTTCTATTTACTTCTATTTAATTATGTAGTAAATATTTTCATGACATAATCTCTTCTTTTAAAAAATAGTTTGATAAAAAAGTAGTAGATTCCAAATTACTTCATACATTGATAGAATTTAATGTTTTTTAAACAAAATTTGTCACTAATTATTTTCTATACTCTATTCAATTGTGGTTGATAAGTCTTCTAAGCCATTTATAATATCTTGTATCTAAGTTTAAAAACAACCTAATTATTTGATAATCATCAAAAAAAAATTATAATAAATTTTAATCAAAAAAAATTTAAAATCTTATTTGAAATAATTCATGTTTCTAAAATTCTAACTAAACACCAATACTATTTTCTAAGGTTCTAGTATCAAACACATTTTGTTTTACCATCTATTAGAGAATGAATCTATCTTTCTTGAGAATCTTTGTCTTGTTTTTTATACCATAAATTATATGACATCCAAAGTAGTTTATTATGTTATTTGTTAAATGATTTTTCTTAAGAAAAATATTCTATATATCATAATAGTAATTATTATTCTATTTTTCTTTAGAAAAATCTATAAAGATGTTAAAAATATATGTTAAAGAATTGGTTTCTCCATATATAGGTTTTTTTTTCATTTCCATTGTCTCTCTATTTTTGTTAGTGAATGTTGTTAAATTTAGATTCATATTTTGGATAACAAATAAGAAGTAATTTTCCTGTATTTATAAGATTCTTAAATAGTTTCTCTATAAATTTATAACTATTGTAACCATACTCATTTATTCAATTTTAGCTTTATTTTTGAATTTCTTCAAATCTACGACTTCTTTGATTTAAATTCTAGAGTTTATTTGGTTTAATAAAAAATAGTAGTAGTTGTTTTTTTCTTTACTTATTTCTTATTTTATATGGCTTAATAAAAAGTATTTGAAAACATAATAGATGTTTACTGATTCTAATAATTATAACCAATATGTAATTAGATTAATATATATATTAAAATAATAATAAAACTTAAATATTCTTAATCCAGTTATTTATAAGGTTAATAGGTCTCAATATTGTAATAAATTAACCATATTTTATTACCAATTTTGAAAAGATAGTGTTGTTTTTTTGAGTGTATATATATATATATATATATATATATATAAATATATATTCTTAAGTTTTTTCCAAAGTCATTCTTATTATTATCTAATTTTTCATTAATATACTATTTAAATCTTAACTTTGAAATATTGCTAAAAAATTATTTTATTATTATAACTTTATATAGTTATGTTATAAGTAGGATTTTATAGGAGACATGCAGATTCTAAAGGTAAGAGTTGATTGTTCATAACTTTTAAATTTGCATATTTAGATTTTCGTGCCAAAAATATCTTGTTATATTTAGAAAAGATTTAAAAAAAATAAAAATGAAAAGGCTTTTGTATGTTTCAAAGCTAAACAAGGTTTAGTGTTTACAAAGAATATTCTAAATGAGTATGGTACCACACACAGAACAGTGCAATTCCTTCATAACTTTGGTCCCAAAAATTTGCCATCATTCTAATAGTCTTGTTGTTAGTACTTAAAATATCGTCTTTTTACAATGAATCCGAATAAAAAGTACATTAAAAAACAATAAAAGAAAAATCTTAACCAAAGGCAAAGATTACTTAATCCATGTTCACCTTAGTTTACTTCTATATTTGAAATATGATTCATTCTAAGTCCTAGAAAGCACTGGAGATAGGTCAGTTTTGGATAGGAGAATAAATATATATATATATATATATATATATATTGATACATACATATAACTCTAAAAAGTAGTTTGAATTGATTGCTTGTTAATTACCATGTATTTTCTCATTTCTATTCTCTTTGATGCTTTGTCAAGTGTGGCTTGTACAATCTTCCAAGAGTTGCAATGAAAGATGTTATGAATGAAAAAATGGATTAGTGTCAAGGAAGACATGAATTATCAGACCATCAGAAAGTGATTATCCTTGGCACTAAAGAGTACCCAAAATGTAACAATAATAGTAATATGGAGATATTCTTGAAACTAATGAAACAGACTTATTTATTTATTAATTTATCTAAATGCATGAAAATAATTAGTGCATGATAAAGTTTTAAAGAAAATCATTGCAAACAGGACATTTTCATCATCTTTAAATATAAACATGAAATTATGTTTTCACCCCAAAAAAATATAAGCAATTTAGATGCAGATGCAATGCTTGTCTCATGACAGCCAAGATTAAAGCTCACAATGGCCTCACTTAATGTTAATGTTGACCATGGTGATGTTGATAAATGCTTTCAATGTAAAAACTCTCGAACTTCATGATACACATGATATGGTCAGTCTCCCACTGGATGATTTATAGTTATTGAATAATACTTAATTCATCAATTGCAAGCTTTTATATTTATTTACACATACTTGTACACACAAGTGTGAATATGTCTCATGTTGATATGAAGTATCAGTGCTGAAGTGCTGGATTGTTCACTAGCTGTGCATATGAGTCACCTCTGACCTCACCAACTCATCTGCCTCAAGGGATCATACAAAGGGTGCCCATGTGTCTGATCTTGTAAATGAGTTCCATGGAATGAAACCAAAAAAAATGAAAATAAAATAAAAAAATAGGGGATGTTTTTTGATGTATGGTAGCAGCAGTTGACCTTAAAGTAGACGTGAAAATTGCATGGTAAGATGGTGGGTCTCTTGGCTACCATTTCATGTTTGGAGTACTACAATGATTTATCAAATGATTCTCCTCAAATCATTTTTGTTTCTTGTGTTGTGTGATTTCATGTGTTTGTATATGGTCCATGGAGTAACACCTTTTTTTTTTTTTTTTTTTTTTTTTTTTTCTTCTTTTCCTTTTTGTCCTTTTTTTTTCTTTGATTTATTTGCTGCTTTCAGGGAGTTGGGCAACAACTGCTGGCTTTGGTCATCGAAAACTGAATACAGGTGATGCCATGCTGTATAACTCACATACTGTAGATTCGTTATAAAAGAACTGGTCTCAGATTACTGATTTGACATATCACTGAGCAGCTGAAGTTCTGACTGCTACAGACCTTGTCATCACATGTTGTTGATGAAAAAACAATTACACTTCAAGAATACATGATTTTGATGCGGGGCTTGAAATCCATAGTTCTAAGGAGAGAAACATGACATTGGGACACTGTTTGAAACCTGTGCTATTTTGGTAAAGAAAATTGTTTGGATGAGTAGTTGGTTTCATTGCATGTCTTGAAGCTCATAGAAAAAAAATGATTGGTCATTAAAGTAGATAGTTATTAGGAGCAATAGAAAGGGCATGTCACCATTTTTGTGTCAGGTTTTGTTCTCATGATAGTAATACTAAGCAAGAAAATAATTATACAAATAGTACAAACATATAATTATTTATAATTGGCCTCTAAACCATTGTGCTTGAAAATCTGTATCATGAAGGAAGGTTAAAGGATGAGTATTGATTAAATACATGTTTTTATTGCAAATGTTTTTTTAACACAAGCAGTTTCAAAGTTTCTAAACATAAAATAAAGTAGCATACTAAATTACAATCATTTATTTTTATTTTTATTTTTTGTATTGGGATTATTAAAGATGTTAAAATTGGTTACATTTGTAATTTTCATGATGTATATTTAAAAGAATATAAAATCTTACCATGGTATTACCAGTTCCTGAGAATTTCAAAAGGTAATGTTAATTACAACTCTGCCAGATAAATGCCTTTTAGTGTGAATATATGTATGTATCTATCGAAAAATATAACTACAAATTATTGATTTTGAACACAACAATCGAACAGTAGTTCATAGAAGTTTGCAGAATCAACGCTGCAAGAGACAAAGTTTGGTTGCATTGAAAATGCAGTTGGCATTGAAGGCTTCATGCGTTCAGGTTGAGCAGAGCTTTTCAACAGAACCCAGAGTCTGACACACTAAAACACAAATCCTTTCAAACAATTCAGCTGAAGCACTGTTGCCCAGTTCTCTTTATACAGAAAAATAAATAAATAAATAAAAATAAAAAATTACACTCTGTTTCTGCACCAGACTTAAATGGACTCGTCTCTGCGTAAATATCTGGAGTACAAAGCTTAGGTGCAACAATAAACTCGTACGTTTATGAGCTCCAACAAGAAGGAAACAATCATACTGCAAGCTACAGCGACGGACCTGCAACTGATGCCCCAATCTATCACTTCATAAAAACCTTCACAGGTACAGTGGCTGCTACATAGATGCATGGGTCTTCAGTATCCACAACCCACCTCAGAATGATTCTATGTAGAATCGCCGAATGCAGACGCTTGGCCAGGTGCACTTATGTGCTCACATGATCACGGTTTCCATTCTTTCTACGATTTGTGCCCACATCGATTTGTGACCCCGGTGCGGCCATCATGCAGGTGGTTGGGCCAAGACCCACTCGCACCATCCCATGTGGCGTCCTCCCCTCTACCCTTCGCCAAAGACCCGAGTGATGAATATGATGCAAGAGCTGATGTTTTCGTCCTTATCTTCGTCACTTATGAAGTCAGCTCCATGTCCCGTCTTGTGTCCGACATTGCCTTCGACAAATAAAAGAGCTCTGGAGCGGTAAAGCCGTGCACAACCACTCTCATTATCAAGCTCAACTTATTTCTTCTATTGTTTTAAACAGGGGGAATCGACTGAGCGAACTTGTATATATGTATATTTATCCTCACAGCTTCAGCAGTAACAGCAGCAGCAGCCACTATCGGCTTCTTCTCTTGGGCCTCGAAAGACTGATGCAGCTGAACATTTCGCGTTGCTAGTGCGTTTGAGATTCCTTCACCACCGCGCCTACACAGCATCCACTGGTTTCAGAGCAGGTGTGGATTCTTGCTAAAACTGTCCTTGGCAGGAGTGGCATCTTTGCATTAGTGACAAATTGTGTTCTTTTTCTCTTTCTGTTTGTTATTGTTCGACGGTTTTGACGGCATTCCAGTTTTAGCTGCCAAGGAGGCCCACCGAATTGGCTCTCTTAAACAACAGTGTAGCCCTCAAACCCGCATATACTGTCAGTGTCATCGTTACCGTTTCGACTGGAGCACAGAGTCATTCCTTCAGCAAAGAGTAGTTCCTGCACCATATTGTAAAACCAAACCACCAAAATTACTTGACGGTACTCCGTGTTAGACTGTCATGAACGTCTTGAAAGTGTTTGCTCTGGAGTTGCCCTGTTCAAACTGAAGTAGCCTGACCGTTCACTCTACAACGGAGGTTAAGCTAATTCCGGTAGCGCAAGACGTTGGCCGCCGAATCCTGAGCTAGACATGTAGACTTGATTGGTATGAGGTTGCAACCATCCGGTACTCTAGAATGAGAGGCCAGCAACATCTAATTTATGAGTTGTTGATGGAGTTGGTTACATTATGCTGACTGCCGCACACATTGATTCGACTGCAGTTGGGTTCACCTCCAAGATGGCCAGAGCGGCAACCGGCGTTATCCTTCTGGGCCTCCTCGTGGTGGCTTTGTACAGTAGCTCTGAAGCAGCCGTGACGGTCATCAACAGTGCACTGATCCCAGTCGACGTCGAAACCAACGGCAACCATGTGACTGTGAACACAGGAGCGTCTCCCGTGCATGTTGATGTGAATGGCGCCAAGGAGCAGAGAGTGCAGGTCTCCATGGGCAAAGATAAGAAGCCCATCTTCGTCGATGTCAAGGACGGGGACACTATTGTCATCATCCCTGACTTCCTCGGAGGCGGCACCATTAATGTTAACGTGAACGGAGCTGTCAAGGGCCACTTTTAAGCAGGAAAGATGAGGCATTTGTCCTCCAATTACTGTTGGGTGAAACTGCACTTGATATGTCTATAACTTGGATAATAGTGCAGGACTCTAGACTCCTGGACACATAAAACACCATTGTAACAAACCACCGAAGTATGTGTATTTATGCTAAGACTTTAAGAGTGAAACAGAATCAGCTTTGCGAGATTGTAGAATAAACTGTTGTGTACGTAAATGTTCAGAGGTAACACATTTGAAGATATTTACATGCGCAATCTTCTTGTATGGATGAACAGTTCGTGGTAGACAAAGAATTTTCCTTGCATCTGTGCATTGTGTGTGTGTGTGATTCTTGAGAGTGAATATTTGCGGTGTTTCCTGGTCCTGAATGTTGACATATTGCAATCTCATATTCCATATAAACAATGGTACAATTTGTAAACATACGGCTGAGTCATGTTCAACTTGTAAAGCAATTGCTTATTGTAGTTCATGCGTGCTTCGAAGTCAAAACGATAAGCTTAGAACCATTTCATTGAACTCCATCACAGGGGAATGGCTTCAGTGACATACAACATTGTGTGCACAAACAAACAATTGAAGAGCAGAAAATACAAGTTAAAAAATGTAGAAAAGTTTATAAAAATTTGTTTACAAGTTTAGAATATTGAATATAAATTTTTCATCTATAAAGAAATATGTAGTGTAAGTTTTTAAATTAAAAAATTCTATAAGTTTTATTTGGTAAAATTATTTCAATGCAAGTATTACCATATAAAGATTTTAAAATATTATGAAAAACTAATAAAGGACAAAAAAACTCACAATAGTTTATTATAATCTTTTGATAATATGAATTGTAATAAATTTATATGTGTTAGTAAAGAATAAATATAGAGGTGATGATGTCATTAGGTGTGGTTAAGTTACATTATACAGTACCATTGCACAATTTACTTTGTAAGTTTGGAAATTGAAACATATTGCAATTTTGTATTAACATCTTAGAATTGAGAAATTAGAAGGTAATTGTATTCAACTAACTAATTGCTTATGTCAAGAAACCACCTTAGACCACAAAAGTTTAGAACACCAAACATGCTTCATATGTAAGTATCAAAATTAATATTGATAAGGAGTGACAAAATTTATTTTTTGATTGCAATAGTTCTTTCTAATTGTGGTTCAAATATTGTTTGTATCCATTTTATATCACAAGAAGTTAAAGTTGAAGAGTAATAAGCAGTAGCTTTTAGGAAAATATACATTCAAGATTTTTCTTCTACTAATAAAGTCTTAGAAATACCATTAGAATAAAGTGGCAATAACAAAAATCTTATCAATAAATATAAATAGAAGAAATTAAGCAAAAAACTTGAGTGTGACTTTATTAGTGATAATAGATGAAGTGAACATGGATCAATGCTGATAAGCTATGATACAACAACATTAAAAAATAATTTATAAATACAAAATCATACTTAATTAGATTTTAAAAAAAAAATAGACTCACTACAAGCTACTAAGAATTTAACATAGTAAGGTTTTAAATGTTGATAAAAAGAGCATGTCATTGAGTAGAAATAAAATGTGTAGCATAGAACAAAATTAAAGATAATTCCAAAATGTCAGTCAATGCAACTACAGAATAAGAATTCAATAGAAATGCATTCAATTTAGCATCCAAATCAAAATTTTTGTGTTGTAAAGCTCCAACGTTTTCAAAACACTCTTAAGTATGCTTCTAGCTATGTCAAATAATACACTAGCACCTTGACTATGCCTTTAAGATTATTCTTATTGACACAAACAGATTGAAGTTATTTCTATAAAGAACTTGCTACTAGAGCCTTTCCTTTACTTTTCTTTTTTTTTTAGTCAAGACTAGTTCATCATCAAAAATAACATTATATACTGCTAGTATAATTGTAGCAATGGCATAAGAGAATGTGTATTTGAATCTTCATGGTAAAAATTTCTATCACAACAAAAACAATCAGATTCATGACAACTTCGGAGTTGAAGTTTTTTTCTTGAAGTAGAGTATTATCATGGCTTGACGTATTCTTATGTCAAATTTGGCTTGTATTTTAAGCAAGACCATAGCAAATGGATTTCTGCGCAAGTAATATTGGCACATCTTAAAGTTTCACATGCAATCTTTAATTCTTATTCTTTTCTCAATTTTTTCTTGATGATTTTATTCTTATCATATTATCATTGTTGTTGTTGTTGTTTTTTATTTTTATTTTTTTTCTTCTTCTTCTTCTATAATACGTGTATTGAAGTAAGAAGATATGCTAAACATGTCATTGAACCTTACTATAGTTTAAACAATGCTAGAAGTAGTAATAAAAGAATTTGAAATCAATCAATATGGATATTGCTTTATTGAATACAATACAATTGATGTCTAATATCATTAAATTCTTAAGATGTTTAGCATTTTTACCATGTCAAATTGACAAAGTCGTTTTATATCAAAGGTTTCCTTTGATAGATGTGTTACTTTCTCTAGATCCAACTAACAGTGTCAACATGTGAATGAATTATAGTTTGGCTCCTCAGTAGGTTGAAAACTTAGTCAACAAGTTGGCAATGTGCGACACATGTTGATTACTTGTTTTAGAAAATTCCTATATAATGCACATATTAGCAACTTATTTTGCAAGTTAAATAAATGTCCTATAAATTGGGCATATGTCAAATAACTTATACAAGATTTTTGTATTATGTCAAAGTCATCCTACGAATGCATTATCCATGTGACTATAAAAGAGTTTAATCTTATTTTAAAGTTGAATTTATAATCTAAAATAGTAATGCATATGGTGTATCAAAATATCTTCTTAGCAATCTTAAATAACTTGAAAAAAATTTAATATATTCTCTTTAACTCAAATAAACCTTATACAATTCTATGAAAAAATCCCAACTAATCCTATAGAAAATGAGAAGAAATTCTAAAACATTTATAAAGAGTTGTAAAAAAATTATAATAAAATCATAATAAATCTTAAAGAAATAATAATAATAATAATAATAATAATAATAATATCTTTAAGAAATAAAAAATAAATCATAAAATATCCTAAAAAGGTAAAAAAGAATTCAAAAGAATTTAAAAAAAAAATCATAAGAAAACTTAATTAAATATTAAATAAACTTTATATTAAATTTTAAATCTCAATAATTATTATTTTAATTATTTATTTTGATTCAAAGCTTTTACACTTCTCAATTTTCTTATTGAAAATAGGCATATAAAATTTAATAAGACTAAAATATATAAATTGGAAGAAAATGCTCCTAATCTGCTTAAGTGTTGGATGCCTTCTATCTCCAACCTCAATATAAACCTTTCAACATTAATATGTCATACTTGAATTTTTAACTTATTTTCAAAATTTTCATAAATAATAAAATTTAAATATACTTTTAGCATACAAAACCATTATTCTATTACAATTGGTTGATTTTTTTAAATCACAAAAATCCTTACTAACCTTCAAAATTCAATTTGTAAGATCTGATCTCACTTAAATCTCAATTATTTTTGATCTATCTATCTAAATAAGTTCAACTTCATAAGATATATCACTAAAATATTATTTTCAACCTACCAAATTCTATCTATATATTTGCTAAAATAATCACCAAATTCTCTAAAATATAATTTTTTAAATTTAATATGAAACAATTTATCTAGAACCATCTTAACTTTATATAGCTTTCACAAAATCAACATATATTTAAATTCCTTAAAACCAAAGCTCATTAAAATTATATCAAGTCTATCTTTAAGCCTTATTCTTTAATTGATAAGAAAATCTTACATTTGTTGTAGGTACATGGTTTCTACTTCAACATTTAGTTTTGGCCTTATTTCATAATTGGCCTTCTTTGATTATTAATCTTAAGTTTTTTTAGATAATTTTTATTAAATACTATTCTTTATTTATTTTTAAAGATACCTATGTTGTTAATTTTTTTGATCTACTTTGTTTTGTCTTATTTATAGCCCTACAAAATAAATAGAAGTATTTTTTTATTAAAAAGAAAAATTGATACTAAATTATTTTATTATCTTGTTAACTTTTTAAAAAGTTTTAAAAGTAATTTCTACTATATTTTAATATTATATTTACGTCATTATAATTTATTATTATTTGTATAGTTTTGTTACAACATGACAACATAGCTAAGTAGTTCCTTAGTTTGATAGTTTATATTGAAGCAAATGAGAACTTCCTCACTCTTGTAAATGTCTTTTTTGTTCTTAGCTTTGTTTCAAGGATCTTTAATTTTCTTGTCATTAAAATTAGCCATTCTATTTTTAATATTATAATTATATTTGAGTGGATATTCTCTCTTTATTAGTCATACAAGAATATATTGATTCTTTAGTTGCATTGAGATTCATATCTTTGATCTTCTATATAAATGTATTTACAAGGATACCAATTAATTTTTCAATACTTAATTTATCAAACTTTTTATTTTATAATATGAACCATAGATTATAAATGTAATAGACATTTGGTTGTGAAAGAAATTTATTTGAAGCCAAAATCTTCTTTTTAAAATTCAAAATATAAATGCGGTATTTAAAAATATCTATCTTGAGAATATTAATTGTTTATAAATCATAAATCTAATAAATTTAAAAAATTAAGAATTCCAAATCTCAACTCCTACTAATTGTAAATAATCTTTAAAAAAAATTAAGAAAATTTTAAAACAAATCTAAAAATATCTTTAAAATTATCTTATAAAATCATACAAAAAATACTTATGAATCTTTAAAAAAATTCTTTCAAATTCTTAAAAAATATAATAAAATATTAAAGAATTTCTAAAAGTATAATACTAAATTATAAATAAAATTCAAATTAATCCTATAAAATCTTTAAAAATTAAATATAAATCCTAAAAAATCCTAAAAAATACATTATTTTCTTAACAAATCCTTGAAATAACCTAAATATTAAATACCAACTTTAACAAGCTATGATTTTTTATTTAATAATAAAATAAAATATTTTTTTATATTACTAAATATATTAGATTTGAATAAGCTTATAAAATTTCAAAAAGATCTAAATTATAAATTGAAAGAAATAGCTTAAATATGATACAACTTTCTTTTTTAATTTTGATTTGAAATTATGAAAAGCAATATCTATACTTATTACAATTTCTTTGTACTTAATATAATTTAAATTTTATACTTTAAGTAATCTATTTTTCACTAATTTGTAGTTTTTTTAGCCAATTATTCTTTACATTAGGCCAATATCCTTATCAACCTTCTAACTATTAA